GGTGACCCCGGCATCCGGAGCGGCAGCATTACCCGTGATTCAGGGAAGGCAGAAGCGGTGAGTAAATGCCGCTCGGCTGCTTGGAGCCGAGCTCGGCGGCGCTGAGGCGGTGACGGCAGCAAAGCGCCCCTCCCGCGGCTTCCAAACAAGGAGCCGAATTTCGAGGATGTATTTACCGGAGGATGACAACTCCGGGAGCTTTTAGCCGATGTCTCACTGCCTGGGGCTGACCCCCGAGTCCTCCGCGCGCTGCTCCGGCTGTCTCCGGAAGCCGATTAGGGGAAAATCCGGGGTTATACGCGGGGGTGGATGCGCCCTGTCCGACTCCGTGCCCGCACGGCGATCGCAAAACGATCGAGTGAAAAGCCAAAATTGAGTGAAACTAAAAGCGAGAGGAACGCATGTGACCGCGCTGGTTTTTTTACCCACCGCAGCAGCCTGCTGAAGGGGGGGGGTCCGGGTTTGTCGTCCCACGGCTCTTTCTAAAAGCTTTTCTGCTCCCGGAAGAGCAGCTCTCGTGCCGAAGCGCAGCTGGAGGAGGCGGGAGGTGCTTCTCTGGCCCCTTTTCTGCCCGAGCAAGACAGGGCTTGCTCCCGTAGATGCGTTCGAGCAAGCCCTGCTCAGGCTTCGCTTCGTTCCGTCGCATTTGAACATCCTTCATCCTTGTAATCTTGCGGGCTCCTCTGCCGGGCGTAAAATCCCGGCGGATAGCGGCATCCGATGGGGGAACGCGGACGTGTCGATTCCTGCAAATACAACCCTAGCCTCAATTCTTACCCTGTACCTTTTCAGCCCAGAACGTGACTGTCGATGAAATCATGACCGCCTACAAGCAAGCCTGCCAGAAGCTGAACTGCAAGCAGATACCCAAACTACTGAAGCAGATACAGGTACAGCTGGTGCAGGTGCTGTCCCAGCGCCAAGTGATCAAACGCACCCCTTTATTACACGGCTCGCCGTAGACTTTTACAGTCGCTGACGTGTCAGATGGGAACGGAGACTCCTGTTTTAATATGACGAGCGGGTTTTGGGACAGATGAAACTTGCTGCAGGGAGCAAAAGGGAAGGAGCTTGCTAGCAAAATACTATGCGTAGTTTAACGTGCTACCAGACCTTGTTTTTTCCCCTGCTGAAGCTGCATCCGTCTCCTGGGGCTGCTGTGGGGGGGGTAGCTCCAGCCCGGCTGGCAGCGGCGGGTGCTGGAGGTGGGCTCTGACGTCCCCGCTGCCCCCCACCCGGCACGCCTTCGAGCCAGGGGACGAGACTTGAACGGGCTTGTTTGCGAAGCGGTTTCTGCCTCGGATGTTATTTTAAATGGAAATCTGCGCGTGCGGTTGGAGGAGGGAAGCCCGCGGGGAGACCGCGACGAGGGCTGTGGTTTTCCCTGCTCACACGGGGTGAATTAAAAGTCCCATTTAAATCCTCAGGCCTGAGAGCAGCACGCTGGAGCTGCTTGGCCTGGGAGGGAAGATTTTTGGCTTTTTCACCCACCGTACCTTCCCCAGGCAGCTCCGGTGCCTCCGTGGGCGGAGACGGACCCTCTTCTTCATCAGCCACCTTTACTCGTAGAGCTCCAAGACCTTGTCCCGGGGAGGGTCACCAGCTCTCCCCGCGACTCGCAGGGATCCAGCCTGCAAAGCTGCCGTAGGTGGCAGCTTTGATTTCGAGTGAACCTCGGGCTGGGAGTTCCCACGTCTTTTCTTCGTTTGGGGGAGGATTAGCCCAATTTGTCACGTTGCCTCCTCCTCCTCCTGAGTATGAAATGCTGCTTTTTCTTTTGCAGGAATTTAAAGATCTGGCTCCCAGGATAGACTGCTTAGATCTGAAAGGTGAGCTCCTTTTTCCATCACCAGGGGATTTTATTTCTCTTCTGGGCAATCCCGGCGTTTCATTCCATTGGTACGGCTCTTGCCGGAGTCGTGGTCCCAGTCCCGGTTGGGGGCTCTTGCAGGCTAGAGCGGGAGAGCGCCTTAATCCCAGCAAGAGCAGAAAAGTAAGTACCAGAGGTGTTTCTCTGTGAGGAATATTAACGTCCTGGTCGAGGAGCACCGAAACAGCAGCAGAATAGCTTCAGCGGCCCCTCCAGCGGCGGATTGTCCCTCACCACCTCCGAGCACCGTCCTCATACCCCCCCGCCTCCTGAAGCGGCTCGTTCGGGGCACGAGTGAGGGCTGAGCCGGAGCCGGTTTGCCGGAATACTTTTCCGACTGATGTCTCGAAACTCCTCGCGCGGTGGGAAAACCGGAAAGGTGTTCCAGTTAATTCTCTTACGGCAAACATCTTTGTGAACGACGGCTTTTGTGGAGCATCTCCCGTAGCTCCAGAAAGGAGAGGAAGAAGGTCGCCTTCGCTTTCCTGCAAGGTCTCTGCTAGGGAAATGTTTTACAGGGGGTTCTTCTCGCAGCAGGTCGCTGCCTCTCTCCTCCTGCCTTCCGCTGGTCTTCCCTTCCTAAAGAGCTGCTGCTTCCCCTCTGCGCTGGGGGATGCCTCCCAAAACCAGCCTGGGAGACGGGCAGCAAGAGCAGCCGCGTAGCAGGGACGCTCCCCCAGCGCAGCCGGGGGGAAGATGGAGCGGTCAGCGTCGGCCGGAGCGTCCTTCCTTCGTGGCGCGACGGTGTTGGTGTTGCTCCTCTCAGCCCTGGGTCGTCCTGGCAGCGTCTGCCTCCTGCTGAGGTCCTGCCCGGGCTCTCCCGGTTTTCCACGACACTCGGCGGGTGCGCGAGTGGATTTTGCTGGAGCAAACTCCAGCTTGGCTCCGGGGGCTGCAGCCTTGGGGTTTAATCCGTAGCACTTTGGTGCCTGTTGTCGCTTATTCAGTGTTTGGGGGGGGGGAAACCCGAAGGCTGGGGAACCACTCGGGAGCTGCCGTTAACGAACCTGAGAAAATACCTCGCTGTGCGGGGAGCCGGGGTGTCCGTGGCCTGAGCTGATTCGCCTGGAGGAGGACAGACGTGCTGCTGGAGGAGTAACAACACGAGCTTGCCCAAACAACCCCCCAAAATAAATCTTTTACAGGCCCCATCACCATCATTTGGACTCAACTTTGCCAGACAGGATTTTTTTCTTGACTTCTTACAAATCCCGCAGTCGTCGGCTGGCTGGGCAGCCGGAGCCCGCGTCCCCCTTCCCCTAGAAGTGGGGGCTTCTCAGAAGACCCCAAGCGATGCAGAAGCCCGGCTGCTGGTTGCTTTATGCCGTTACACGCGATATAATGCTGGCACAGCCCAGGCTCAGCCTTTAGCGAAGGGTTCGCGCTTCCCCTCCTCAGCACTTGCTTTGCACGACCGTTTCCCACCCGGCGTGCAGCCGCTTCTCCCCGGCGCTGGATTCCCCTCACGATGGTTATTACAACAGAAACAAAGCTCTGGGTTTATTTTAAGCTGCATTCCACCTTTTTCACTCGGCCTGGTGTCGGACGTGGCCTCCTCCCGCTTCGAGACGTCGGAGGGAGCTGACGAGGGACCGCAGCTCACCCTGGTCTTGTTGAGTGAATTCCCAGCTCCGCAGGGTGAGATCGGCCCGTGGCTTGGCTCCGGCGTGGAAAGGGCGATCTATTTGGGAAGCACAGGCTGGTTCCCCGTCGCTGTCGCCTTTGCTGACGAGGCTATACCAGCCGGGGAGGGGTCGGTGGGGCTGCCGGAGACCCCAGCGGGTGACCGTTCGCTGCTGCATTTTTGGCTTTCGATGTTTCGGAGGGGATCGGTGGGGTTGCGGCACGGAGGTGGCGGTGCACCAGACCTGGCTGCCATCGCCTCGTTCTTCATACGCGGGACGGGATCTGCTGGTGTTAGGAGGACAGGTAGAGCTTCCACCTCCGCATTTGCAGGTCCTCTCCTCCCCAAATTCGGTTCGCCTGGCAGGCAATCGATGCGGCCTCTAAAAGCAGCCAGCACAAATGCTTATTGGGGGGAAAACCCCCCGTTTTTCAACCAGAAGTAGCTTGTGCAGCAGCGCGGGGCGAGTCGCAGCCCCGTAAGCCGGTGGGGATGAGCTGTCGTGGCTGGTCTGCGGGCTGGCCAGCACCTCGGGCCTCGGGAGACTTGCTGCTGCGCAGGGCCGGCGAGGGTGCTCCTAGGAAATAAGCAAATAAATAAGTAAATAAAAAGTCCGAAGTCTTGGGAAATGTTCTCGAGGCAGCTTGTGCCAGCGCTTCCCTAAATCGAAACGTGAATAACTTAATTTGGCAGAGGCGGCAAAACAGCGTATGTATTTACAACGCGCGTGCAGGGGTTTAATTGCAACCCCGTGGTGCTTTTATATAGCAAAAGGAGTAATCAGCCGCCTGTTAGTTTGTCAGTGGAGATGCTCGTAACGTAATTCCGGATGAACTGAAGCTGGCGGGGGGCTGGCTCGTTGGGAAGACGGCTGGTCTGCCCAGCGGGGAGAGGCAAATCCCGGTTTTCAGTGAGTTTTAGGCGGCGAAAGCATTGCTGCTGTGTTGGGTGAGCAACCGCGCTGGTCTTCAGGTGGATTGCCAAAAATCCTCCGAGCTCGCCGCGTGTAATCGAGCGAGAGACATCCTTTCCGAAGTCTCCCTGCGGACCCCCTCTCCCGGCTTGTGGCGCTGCTGGTGAGCCCCGGCGTGGCTCTCAGGGCTCCCTGCGGTGGCCGGTCCCCGCCTGTTAATGAGAAATACTCATCCGAGGTGATGCTTTCCGCTGCTGGGCTAGGCACGCGTGAATAAATTAACGTGAACGCCCAATATTGGGTTTGAATTTCCCTTCAGGCGGGTTATTTGAAAGGTGGGCTGCCTCTGAACGGGGGGGAAAGTCCCCTTTCCATGTGCCCTCTGTCCTGCGGCTTGGGGCTCTCGAGCTGTACGCGTTTTGTGCTGCAGCACCCAAATTCACCTTATTCTGCTCTTTTCCCCAGGGGAGAAGCTGGATTACAAAGCCTGCGAGGCGCTGGAAGAAATTTTCAAGCGGGTCCAGTTCAAAATTGTTGATTTGGAGCAAACGAGCTTGGATGAAGACGTAAGTGGCCGTGACCTCTCCTGGCTTCTCGTTCCTGTTTCGCAGCTAACACAAACCCGACGGGTTTTGTGGTCAGTCCTTAGCTCCTCCTGGGCACTGACTTATTTTTTGGGGGGCTGTACCGTGTTGCTGTACCCATTCCCCTCATACCCACGCTCTGATTTAGGTCTGCTGGCGCAGCGTTTGCTGCTCCAAAAGGAAGAGGTTGACCGCTCGCTCTGAAGCCCGGGTGGCCACAACGCTCTGAGGCATTTTAAATACGTATTTTAAAAGCTGTTCTGAAAGCTGAGGGAATTGCGGACAGCTCTCGGACGGCTTTTCAGGGCTGAGGGTGAAGTTCAGGCTCCCTTCTGCACGTCCCACCCCGTCCCGACTTGCCTTCCTCCTCCCTCGCAATGCCTGGGGCCCTGAGTTCAGGTCCCAGTGGGTAAGCGGAGGAGGTTAAAAATTAAGGAAGTGGTTAAAAATTATTTTAGCCAGCTCCGGTCCCGAGTTCCCCTTGCCCCAGAGCATCCCCTTTCAGTCCTTGCGTCTTCAAGGGTCTTGTTTTTCCCACGTCGTCCATCCCTATCCTGAACCTGGCTTCAGACCTGTCTTTTTGTCTTTTCTTTGGAAGCTCTTGATGCCTTTTATTTCCCCCGTTTTTCCCGCTCGAGCAGCGCTTTGGGCCCTGGGGAAGGCTCAGCAGCCACGAGCTTCTCAGGGCCCCTGCCCGCGTCCGATACGAAGTGGGGAAAAATGTGACTTGGACGGTGGCTCCTGCTCCGACCCCGTGACGGTGCTGGCGCTGAGCCGCGGCGGCTTCTCGCTGAGCCCGTCCCATCCTGGGGCCGTGCTGACGCGGCCGGCCGGGATCCCG